GACTTACCCCGGACCCGAGTTACCCCGGATAATTCGGGCGTCCAGAGCCCCAATCATCAGGGGTAACTCGGGTCAGGGCTAACTCGGGTTCGTTTTTCGGGAATCCGAACCCGACTTACCCCGGACCCGAGTTACCCCGGATAATTCGGGCGTCCAGAGCCCCGAATCATCAGGGGTAACTCGGGTCAGGGCTAACTCGGGTTCGTTTTTCGGGAATCCGAACCCGACTTACCCCGGACCCGAGTTACCCCGGAGAATTCGGGCGTCCAGAGCCCCACATCATCAGGGGTAACTCGGGTCAGGGTTAACTCGGGTTCGTTTTTCGGGAATCCAAGCCCGAGTTGCCCCGGACCCGAATTACCCCAGATACCTCGGGCGCCCAAACAGAGCGCGGTAGGCCACGGCCGCCGGGTCGCCCTGGGCCGTTGCCGGGCGCGCGCCCCGACCCAGCATGGGTGGCCTCGCGGGGGCTGGCGCACCGCGGTGATTGTAGCGCATTTTCGGGAGCTGGAACATATACATCACCAGAGGCGGGCCGTGTTTCAATCCCAGGATGTTCTGAGGGTCGGGGACGACGCTGGGGTTCTGGACGCCCGAAACGGGCACGGAAAGAATGGGCACAATGCCCAACAGCAGTTCTTGTTCATTCTGAGCAGGGCTCGCTGTCCACGCCGCCGCGGCCTGCATCAATTCGAGACAGAAGGCCGTCTGCCCAACAGCGGCCGCTGTTAATTTGCGACAACATTTGCTGTTGGGCATTGTACCCATTTTTTCCGTACCCATTTCGGGCGTCCAAAGGGGTGGTGTGGTGTAGACGTTTTGTCCCCGATGTCCCGGGGAAACAACGACAAATGTATACACCAGGGTCCCGTGTACGCCAGGATCCGATCTCCAGTGCAAATTTCAATACAGGGCCGGAAAAAGCTTCGGTGTATAGAGTTCGATTCTCTACATTTTGGAATAGCTTCCAGGGGTAATTGGTAATACGTGTTACGGTCGGACCGAGGTAGAAAGTCGAGGTCGGTTCGGGGGGGGAACCCTACGTTTCTTCCTGTTGGTTGGGTGTTCTTCTGCATCCAGGGGGAAGGTAATTACGCCCTCGGACGTTCTTCAGTTTGGACCGGCGGAGGGTCTCATGTTCTTGAAGGATGTTTTTCTGTCCTAGATCCAGCCGTACCCCAGCCAGAACCCTCCCGTAACGCTAACGCCTGAGACGCGGCCGCAGGCGTGAATCTTTGCAGATTCCAGGGGACTTTGTGGGGACTCTGGTGCAGTTCAAACGGATCCCAACAGGATTCCGTAGAGCCATCCGGTGAAATGCGGGGGGAGGAGGAGGGGAGGAGGAGCAGGAGGAAGAAGATGAGGAGGAAGAGGGCGAGGTGCACGGTGCACACGTCTGCTGCGTTTGCGCAATCATCGGATTGTACACCAGCTTGGTGGTGCAAGAAAGCATTGCCGTGGATAATATCCTGGCCCTGGCCAGAAAAAATAACAAACCACAAATACCTCACATATTGAATTTGAAATGTTTGTAGGCCCGCGACGATTTCCGGAGCTCGTGCTCCCCGTGACCTTGGAGGAGTACACAGGGTTTGTGTCGTACACAGGCGTGTACACAAGCCCTGTGGAAAACGCAGGCGCGAGGAGCTGCAGTGAGCACAGCTGCTGTGGTGGCGCAAGCATTGTGTTGTACACAGGCGCTGTGGTGCACGACGGCACGGTGGGGCCCACACATAGGGCGGACCGTGCCACAAGCCAGAACCACCGATCATCACGAATGCTTCACATATTGAACGTGATATGTTCGGGCCTACCGCGATTTTCTGAAGTTTGGGCCCCGTGAGGGGCCGTGGAGTGTACACAGGCATGGTGGTGTACACGAGCACTGTGGCTGCGCAAGCATCCTGTTGTACAGGCGCTGTGGTGCGCGCAGGCTCTGGCGGACCCAAAACACAGGGTGGACCGTATCGCCAGTCAGAAGAATCAGCATTCACGAAAAGCTTAGATATTGAATTCGATACCTTCGGGCCCACCACGGTGTTCCGAGGTTGGGCCTCGTCGGGCTTGTGGGGTGCAAAGCCGTTGTGGTGCACGCAGGCGTTGTCGTGTACATAGGGTACTGTGGCGCACACTGGCGATAGTTATGCTATGCTGGTGCTGCGGGCGCGCCTTGTGGGGCGCACGCCGGCCGCCATTACCGATCTCCCCCCCGCCGCCCCCACCACCTCCCCCCCTGGAAACACGAGCTACCCCCAATGGATCAAAGAAATCTCCCGCGGTCCGTACTCAGCGGACTTAATCGACGACCATATACAGACAGACAGACAGACAGACAGACAGACAGACAGACAGACAGACAGACAGACAGACAGAGATACATACATACATACATACAGACAGACAGACAGACAGACAGACAGACAGAGATACATACATACATACAGACAGACATACATACATACATACATACAGACAGACAGAGATACATACGTACATACATACATACATACATACGTACATGCAGTCTTACATCCAGAGAAAACGAAAGTCAGGAAGGCGCGCGTCAAAACATCTGCAGCCGTCACGTCGGGCCTCTGCTGCGGCCGGCAATCTGCACTGCCCGGCCTGGGGTGCCCCCCTGCGTCCGCCCGGCCGTGCAGCAGCGGGGTGCCGTTGCCTCGCTCGGGTGGCCCGGCGCCTGCTACTGCTGCGGCTCCACTTACATGCTGCTCGCGTCGTCGACGTCGTCGCTCGTTGCTCGTCGCTCGTCGCTCGTCGCGTCGTGCGCGCGGGCGCGGCTGTGGCGCCGGAACCACACAGCGGGGGGGGGGCGTCACGTCATACCCCTCCCCCGCCGTACCCCCCCCCCCATGACGCCCGTCATCGCCGAACATGAAGAAACGCGCTCTATCCTGCCTTTGGTCAGGAGGGAAAAGACCACGCAGACGCAATTGATCGTCGATTCCCCCGAAGAGGTGGGAAGATCTGGGAGGTGGGGGGGAAGACAGAAACCCAGACAATAGGGGAAACTATGGGGAGTCCTGTTACCTGTGCCTATCTATTTGTATGTGTGTGTGTGTGTGTCCCAGGGCCCCTTCGTTTCGCTGCTCTCGGTCATCATCCTCACGTCCCGCCTCGTTCTCCGTGCCTGTGACCCCCTGCCCCGTCTTCATCGAGCATCCTTCTCGTCGTCGTCGCCGTCCTCGCAGTTCATGAGGAAAAAAAACACACAGACACAATGGATCGTCGATTCCCCAGAAAATATTTGAAAATATTGGAAGTGGGGGGAAGACAGAAACCCAGAACATATGGGAACAGATGGGGAACCCCGTTATTTGTGTGTGTATTTATTTGTGTGTCCCAGGGCCCCTTCGACAATCCTCTTCCTCCTCCAGACGAAAGGTCGGTGACCACGTCACGATCGGGGCGCGGAGCATCATTAGCGCAGCGCAGATCGGCTCGTGCGTGAGCATCGGGGAGGACTGCGTCATCTCCAAGCGCTGCATGGTTAAGGAGCGCTCGCGGAGGGCGGTATCGGGAGACCACCATCCGTCTGTGGGGAGGAGGGCTGCGGCAGAGACATTGCTCCTGTAGGCGGCGGTTGTGACATGGGTCGTGCTAGTGTTGAAGGTACGGCGTAGGAGGAGGAGGAGGAGGAGGAGGCGGAGGGGAGGAGTCGCAGCGGGAGGATCATATTGAGGAGGAGGAAAGGGAAGATTAGCATGGGTTGGAGGTTGAGTAGGAGGCGAAAGTGGGCCCAGTTACAACTGATGGAACATGAAGATGATGAGGGTTGGAATGAGGATGAGAATCTGAGGATCATGTTGCGGGAATGTAAGGATGAGCGCGGTGACGATTGTGGTGATTACAGCAATGGTGTAGATGATGTGGATGGTGATGTTGATGTTGGTGTTAATGTAAATGTTGATGTTGCTGCTGATGATGATGCTAATGACGAGGAGGATGACGATGATGATGATGCTGATGGTGCTGATGGTGATGATGATGATGATGCTGATGATGATGATGATGATAATGATGATGATGATGATGATGATGATGCTGATGGTGCTGATGGTGATGATGACGATGATGATGATGATGATGATGATGATGATGATGATGATGATGATGATGATGATGATGATGATGAGTATGATTATGATTATGATGATGATACTGATGATTATGACTATGAGGATGATGATGCGGGAGGGGGAATAATCGAGGAGAGGGCTCTATGTGGAAGATGACGGGGAGGAAGTGGAGGATAGTGAGGATGGATCGATCAAGGGACTGACGATGTTGTGCCAGATCTGTAGCTATTGCGAGGAGGCACTGAGGAGATCAGGAAGCTGGACTGGAAGAGGTGCCAGCAGAGGTGCTGACTTTGGGAGGGAAGCTGATGAGGAGAAGGTCGCGGAGGCAAAGCTCGGGTGCAGGACCCGGTGTGGACGTGCGCGGCGGGTGGATGTGAAGGGGGAGGACGTGGCGGCATCGGGGTCTGGGCCGAGCGGCGGACGGGCTCCCGAGCCAGGCGGCAGCCGGCGCGCCGGCTGCCGCACCGCGAGCCGTCGGGTCGGATGCCCGCGCTCGGAAGTCCTGGGCCGACAGGAGGAGGAGGAGGAGGAGGAGGAGGAGGATGAGGAGGAGGGAGGAGGAGAGGAGGAGGAGGGGGAGGAGGAGAGGAGGAGGAGGAGGAGGAGGGGGGAGGGGGAGGGATGAGGAGGAGGAGGAGGAGGAGGAGGAGGAGGGGCAGCACAGAGGCGCCGCGGCTCGACCCCCCACAGACCTCGGGGCCGAGTTCCCACGACGGACGAGACGAGCTCCACCGTGGCGATGCCGAGAGCCGCGGCCCCCAGAAAAAGAGCAGAAGTGCCGCAGCGCCGGCCTCTGCTCCGCTCGCGGCGCCCCTCACTTCCGAGCCCGAGGTCGTAGCTCTGAGAGTGTGCCTCCGGCGAGGGTCGTCACAGCCTGGTCCAGGAAGCAGCTCTGTAGGTCGAGTGCCTTCGCGGGGTGACTCGCGAGCACCGTCTTGACGCCCGCGGACGTGACGTCGAGCTGCTCGTGCAGGTTCTTGTTGAAAAGGGGATCACCAGCACAGGCTGGAGCAAGGCACGGAGCTCAGCTTCGAACTCGTTGCTCGCCTGGCGCCCGCGGTGTGAGTCCCCCACCTTCTCGAAGACCAGTTTCTTGTACAGTCGGGGCGCTGGACAAGGAACCCTTTTCGTTGGGGAGGGGCTCCGTGTTGTTTCGCAGCTTGCCTTAGGTTGTCCTTTGATCTTCGATGGGGGATCGAAGTTTAACTTATGGAAAAAAGGGGGCCTCGTTCCTTATTTAAGGTTCCTTAGGTCAACGCCCCGACTGTACTTCCTCTGGCGGCGGCCCGACTTGGTCTCGCCACTGGGCCTCCCTTCCGTCGGAGTGGCGCCCGAAAACTCGAACCTGCTGCCCGTCGCTGATGGCGTTGCCTGGATCTCGGTCTTCGTCGGCCAAGGCTCACCACCTCCGCTTTCGGCCACCTCGCAGTCCACCGACAAAAATTGTCTTCTTCGTCTGGGCTCCCCTCCCAGGGGACTCTGGCTCCTTCCTCCGAGCTCGGGCCAAAATGTGCGTTCCCGAGCTCGGCCTGGTCGTCGATCGTGAGGTCGACGACTTCTCGTCCTCCTCCTCCTCCTCCTCCTCCTCCTCCTCCTTCTCCCTCCTCCTCCTCCTGCCCCCAGGGCTGGGTTGAACATCGCGTTGATCTCCAAAGATCAGCTCCAGGTTCCAGTCCGCCTCCAAACAGTCCGCCCACTTCTTTCCCCTCGTCCTTCCTCGAGGACGTGGTGGGAATAGTGAGGAGGACGGGGAGGAGGTGGTGGAGGAGGAGAGAGGGCGAGCAGGCAGAGGGGAAGGCGGTGGAGAGGAGTGGGAGAACGAGGAGGAGGAGGGCGAGGAGGGTTCTGGCGCTCCGCGCGGACCTCCGAAGGTTTATGCATATGCCGCCCTCTCTTCGCCCGGCAGGAGAACTCGGTGGTCCTCCCGGGCACGGTCCTGCCGCCCGACACGGTGGTGCCGCCCCTCACCGTCTTCGGCGGGCACCCGGGCCAGTACCTTGGAGCGCGCGCCGCGCTGCGCGGCCGTCGCCCCCGCGCGCCGCCGTGCAGCACGAGGGCCGTCAGGTTATGGGCATTTGCCTGGCCTCCCGGGGCCCTGCGAGGGTTCCAAGAGTGCAGCAAGCGGCTCAGGGTCAAAAGGTCTTGGGGTCCAAGAAAGTCCTGGGGTCCAGGAACCTTCTTTCCCCCCAGGATCCGTTTCTTTCTTGTCGAAAGGGTGGCCACAGGGAGAGTGCGGACAGCATGCGAAGGGCAGGGGCGTTGGGAAGGAGTTCATGACGTGGTCAACTGCAGGTTTGCCTCCCCCCCTACTCGTAGCAGGAAGAGCAGCAAGAGAATACATTTCCGGAGGTCCACGCAGATAGCTTGGAGCGGCTTTGGACCCCTCTCTCTGGCGCGCGGAACGCTTGAGGGGCGGCGCCGCAGGCGCCAGGGGCCCCAGCGCAGACCCAAGAACGCAGTGCGGATCTCTTCAGGTGTAGTGGCGTTCTTTCAGTTTGTCCCAACCATCCTGTGGTGCTGGGTCCTCGTTTCGACTAGACAGCGCCCCGCGTTCCCGCCTCCTTCCTCCCTCTCCTCCTCCTCCCCCGCCTCCCGCTCCTCCCATCCCTTACACCTCTCACATCATTCGTGGCCCCACAGGGAGCTCCACCGAAAGTCCACCGCCCGCATGCGTCACCCCCGCCCGGTGCAGCGCTTCGTGGTACCATTGGGACCTCCACCGAAGGTTCCACCCAGTGCTACCGCACGCATGCCACCGAGTACAACGTCTGTGGCCCCACAGGGAGCCCCACCGAAGGTCCCAGTGCTCCCGCCCGCATGCGTCCCCTCACCCAGTACAGCGCTTCGTGGCCCCACTGGGAGCTCCACCGACGGCCCCAGTGCTACCGCCCGCATGCGTCCCCCCTAGTCGTAGCAGGAAGAGCAGCATGAGCATACATTTTCGGAGGTCCACGCAGATAGCTTGGAGCGGCTTTGGACCCCTCTCTCTGGCGCGCGGAACGCTTGAGGGGCGGCGCCGCAGGCGCCAGGGGCCCCAGCGCAGACCCAAGAATGCAGTGCGGATCTCTTCAGGTGTAGTCGCGTTCTTGCAGTTTGTCCCAACCATCCTGTAGTGTTGGGTCCTCGTTTTGACGAGACAGCGCCCCGCGTTCCCGCCTCCTTCCTCTCTCTCCTCCTCCTCCCCCACACGTTTCGTGGCCTCACAGGGAGCTCCACCGAAAGTCCACCGTCCGCATGCGTCACCCCCGCCTGGTACAGCGCTTCGTGGCACCGTTGGGCCCTCCACCGAAGGTCCCAGTGCTACCGCCCGCATGACACCGAGTACAAAGTCTGTGGCCCCATAGGGAGCTCCACCGACGGCTCCAGTGCTCCCGCCCGCATGCGTCTCCCTCACCTAGTACAGCGCTTCGTGGCCCCACTGGGTGCTCCACCGACCCAGTGCTATTGCCCGCGTGCGTCCCCCCCACCCAGTACAGCGCTTCGTGGCCCCACAGGGAGCTCCACCGAAGGTTCAAGCGCTACTGCCCGCATGCGTCCCCCCCACCCAGTACAGCGCTTCGCGGCCCCATAGGGACCTTCACCGATGGCCCCAGTGCTACCGCCCGCATGCGTCTCCCTCCACCCAGTGCAGCTTTCGCGGCTCTACAGTGAGCTCCACCGACGACCCCAGTGCTACCGTCCGCATGCGTCTCTCCCACCTGGCACAGCGCTTCGTGACCCCATAGGGAGCTCCACCGAAGGTCCCAGCGCTACCGCCCGCATGCGTCCCCTCACCCAGTACAGCGTTTCGTGGCCCTATAGGGAGCTACACCGATGGAGCCAGTGGCACTGTCCGCATGCGCCCCCTCCCACCCAGTACAGCGCTTCGTGACCCAATAGGGAGCTCCACCGAAGGACCCAGTGGCATTTTCCGCACGCGTCTCCCCCACCCAGTACAGCGCTTCGTGGCCCCATAGGCAGATCCAACGACTGGCCCAGTAGCACAGTCTGCATTCGTCTTCCCCACTCAATACAGCGCTCCGTAGCTCCATAGGGAGCTCCACCGAAGGCCCAAGTTGAACCGTCGGCATGCGTCTCCCCTACCCAGCACAGCGCTTCGTGGCCCCATGGGGGCTCCATCCACCGAAGGCCTCAATGGCGCCGTCCACATGCGTCTCTCCCACCCAGTGCAGCGCTTCGTGACCCCAAATGGAGCTAAGTCCACATGTGCTTTTCCCACCCGGCACAACGCTTCGTGGCCCATAGGGAGCTCCACCGAAGGCCTCAATTGCACTTTCCACATGCGTCTCTCCCACCCAGTACAGCGCTTCGTACCTTCAGAAGAGCTGCACCGAAGGCCCCAGTGGCAAAGTCCACAGGCGTTTCCCGCAACGAGTACAGCGCTTCGTGGCCCCACAGGGAGCTCCACCGAAGGCCCGAGTGGCAAAGTTTGCATGCGTCTCCCCCACCCAGTACAGCGCTTCTTGGCCCCACAGGGAGCTCCACCGAAGCTCCCGGTGGCAAAGTTCGCATGCGTCTCCCCTACACATTACGACGCTCCGTGGCCCCATAGGGGGCCCCACCGAAGGTCCGAGCGGCAACGTTCGCATGCGTGTCCCCCACCCAGTATTGCGTTTCGTGGCCAATGGGGATCTCCACCGCATACGATACACACAATTGCTTGACTCACAACTGCATGCGGTTGGATCTTCCGCCAGGTTTAATTGTTCTATCTCCGTTGTTGTCGCTTTCAGGGGGCAGGCCGACGAGGCGAAACCGCCAGTTTTGAACGGTGCTGTGCGGGGGTGCAACTTTGGCAGCGAAGCGGAAAACGCCATTCCTGAGTAAAACGAGCGAAGCTCCGAGCGGAACGACGCGCTGTTGTTGTTAGGGGACACTGTTTGGGCGCCGAGATGAAGACCGCACTCTTACGTAAATGGCGAGCGGGGGCGTCGTTTATAGCTTGGGGAGTTGGTTTCAGCGCCGAGTTCGAAGGAACAGGCGAGGCGGTATCGAGCGGGAGCGAGGTTTTCATTGGCAGGCAGATTCCTAACGACGAGACGGGGCCCCTCTTGAGTGAAAGTGCGGAGGTATCGAGAGTGAGCGCTCTTGATGGTTTTGGGGGGCGGTTTTATGCGCCGAGGCCAGCGCGCCCCCCTCTGGAGTACAGCAGAGAGGAAGTATCCAGCGATAGCGCCACTTCTTGCTGGGGGACATGCTCTCGACGGCGAGGCCGGAGCAGTAGTCATGGACCTCTTGCGCGGGAGTGTTTTTGCTGGCTTGGAGGCCCCCTTCCGCGCCGAGGCGAGCGCTCCTGAGCCACCGACGGAGATATGTCGAGCGGGAGCGCTGTTTGTGCCGGAGGGCAGGCTCCCGACGGTGAGCAAGGGCGCCAGTTCGGAGCACCCAACATGAATGAGTGTCAAGTCGGGGCGTTCTTTCAGAGCCCCGAATCATCAGGGGTAACTCGGGTCAGGGTTAACTCGGGTTCGTTTTTCGGGAATCCGAACCCGAGTTACCCCGGACCCGAGTTACCCCGGATAATTCGGGCGTCCAGAGCCCCACATCATCAGGGGTAACTCGGGTCAGGGCTAACTCGGGTTCCTTCTTCGGGAATCCGAACCCGAGTTACCCCGGACCCGAGCTACCCCGGATAACTCGGGCGCCCAATTCTTGGTGATGCCTTTGTTGGTCAGCTTTCATATCTAATCAGTGCGGTCGGACCGAGATAGACTTACACCAGAGAAAAACCCAAGTCAGTGGATGGTCTGAAAACGGACCGATCAAGAGATCGACAAGGAGATCGACCGGGACCTCGGAAACCCCGGGGACCCGGAACCCACCGAAATCGGCCTGGAACCAATAACCATGGGAACCCAGAACCGGGAACCCGGAAACCCAGCCGGCTACCAAAACAGCCG